AAGCCACATCCCCAGACCTACTTTGTATTTTATTTAGAGAGAGGGTTTCACTGAGTTGCTTAACACCTCATTGTTGCTGAGGCTGGCTTTGAACTCGAAATCCTCCTGCCTCAGTCTACCGAGCCATGGAGATTATAGGCGTACACCACCATGCCCACTCCATGAGGGTTTTTATTCATGAGGAAATCTGACTTCACTTGTGAAACAGGCCTAACTAGAGAAAACTGGTAGCTTCTCTGATACATAAGGCCAATCAAAACAAAGGGAATAGGAGCACAAGTCAACATCCAAATCAAAAGAGAAATCAGAGGGTGGAGAGAACATTCCCCAGGCCATGAACCAGATTAAACTCAAGGTAAAAGCCAAGAAGCAAGACCTCTACAGCTAAGTCTCAGGGAACAAGAGCCAAATCAAGAAGCTGAAAATGCCTTTCTTCTTCCCCAGCCAATTCCAGAAGGCCAGAGAGGAGGCTGCAGGACCACGACAGCCCGACCCACCATCCAGAGCACAACCTTGCAACACAGGCACCTCAACCAGGGACCAGAGTGACAGGTGAGGCCAGGCAGAGGGTCAGCCTAAGGGAGCCAGTCCTGTATACAGAAACGAGTCCCTATGTATGTGAGGCATAGTTTCTGAAGGTGCTCTCTTCCTTCCTCTGCAGATCACAGCAATCACACATGGCTTCCTTGAGGATATCACAGAGGAGCAGAGCCCATAAGACAAGGGCAGAAGGGCATGTGCACTTCCCAGAGGAGCCCGTTAGGAAAGAGCATGCTCTCCTCTGATCCGAAAAAAAAATGGAGCCAAGGAGAAAGGAGGCCCACACCACTAATGGCCAGGCCTTCTGTGCTATTAGTATAGCTATGGTCCTGAGGATCAGGTGGGATGAGCACAGGTCAGCAACAGCCTCAAGGGCATCAGTCTGTCACCGTGAACTTGGGCCTCATGAGTGCCTGGTTAGGGGACGCACAGGGCTGGACATCAGGAAGCTCCCATCTTGTCTACGGAACACCTTACTTCTGAGGTCTTCAAATCACACATCCAGAGCGAGCCTTGCTCCCTTCCCAGTCCTGTACTCTGGTCTAAGTTCCTTTCCCACGGAACAGCTCCACTTCCTTCCTTCCTATATCCTACAACCACCAAAAAAGATCAGCTTCACCTCTCAATCTCTGAAGCCTGTCCATTCCTGTCCTAATAGCTGTACCCCAGTGCAGGCAATGACAGTGGCACCTGGGGACTACTGCAAGAGCCCCATGAGCACTTCCTGTCTTTGGTGTTCTGAGGGCACTCCGGCGCACTCTCTCTCTACCTCGAAAGCCTTCTGCAGCTTCACACCACAGGCCAACAAAGCCCTACCCGACCGGCCCCCACTCACTTCTCCAGGCTAAAAAGCTTACCATCATCCTCTCTTTGTTCTTTGTTCTGAGCTATTTTTAGTATGTAACAGTACACGTTCTCTTAATACATGTTCCCTTAGTTCATGTTCTCTCTTAAAACACACTGGCAGCTTCCAAACTTTGCTATTCTTTGGAATCTGGGCTCTTTGAAACACTCCTGCTACAGGTTCCCTCTCGCTGACATTGTTAACTGAGCTGGCACGGACACGGGCACAGGCGTTTCTCAGAGCTCCACAGGTATTCTAACACAGAGGTTTGCAGTCATAATGATCTGTCTACTAGAACTTTCTTCACCCACTTCACTGGAAAAACCTGAATCATCTTTCAGATCTCATTTAAAAGTAAAATCACTTCCCCCACTCTCCACACCAAATTAACAGTCCTTATTAACTATTTAGTGTCTTTGGATCTTGGGCCACCGCTAATGTGCCCTGAACTGAATTTCACTGTAACTGTGTGACCGTCATTGTTCCCTGCCAGCCTAGACACTGCAACTGGTGGCAGCAGTTCTCAGTGTCTAGGAAAGAAGCAAACACACATTATAGGATGTCAGGTATCTGGTGAATATGCTGAATATAGCTAATCCTAAAAGAATACATTCAAAATAAAATCAGAGAAACAAGAAGGAACTGGTTACGATGAATAAATCTGGCTGTGACCAAAGGACTCACCTGCTTAATGACATAATGAATCTCTTCAGAACTGAGAACACTGTATTTAATATCGCTTGGCTTGCAAGGAGTAATTCCCTTATAGAGAAGAGGCGTGTAGCACTTCATCGCAAACTTCAAGTCACTGACATGTCTCCTCTCCTCTAAGATATCTTCAAAATCATCCCACTTTTTAAGCTCTTTCTGTGAATAAGGCAAATCAAAGAAAGAAATGAGCACATACTATAAAACAAATAGGACAGATTAGGGATGACATAGGAAAGGTTTCACCTTTACCAAAATATTTATTCCATGGCATCTGGACAAAAGAATTGAGTGTTCTGACGTTAGGTTTTCAAACACTAAGAAAAAGAAATGTGGGGTTGGGGTCGTGGCTCAGTGGTAGAGCGCTCACCTAGCACATGCGAGGCCCTGGGTTCGATCCTCAGCACCACATAAAAATAAATAGAATGAAGGTATTGTATACAACTACTTCTAAAAAATACTTTTAAAAAAAAGAATGTAACAATTATTAGAATCAATTCATCAATACCGAATTTATATCATATTTTTGGTTGCTATTTTTGTAAAGCCAGTACCCCTTTGGGAAACTTAACAAAAACAGCAGAGACAAGATTAAGCTCCAGAATAATCTCATCAGTTTTGCAAGGTTTCTTCTATCACACTGACAGACTTTCATCTGCCTCTACTTAGCTTTAAAAATTAAATCAAAATATATTAGGAGCCCACATTTGACATATATGGGCTTATGTCAAATAAGCCCATACAAGTGCAAAGAAAATGGAAGATCTCTCAAGAAGAAAGCGCCTACACGGGCTCCGACAGAGAGTCTGTGCCACTGTGGCCACATACGCTCAATTGCCACCCAACCAGCCCCCAGCACAGCTCTTAGAAGCCTACCAATAACTCTTGGACTGCTATTTTAAAAAGACGTCCTCTGATTGTAAAAGTAAGAGTGGTGTTGATATTCTCAGCTAGCACGTCTAAATTGCACACTGCGTGTGAGAACTCTTCTAACAGCTCTGAACAGAGGAGCAAGCCTCTCAACAAACCCAGGAGGGAATGGCATTCTCAGTCCCAGCTTACAATGGGACTCAGGCACACAGAGGTGGACTTAGGTGGACTTTCCTCAGGCCAACTCCTGACCACCTCCACACTGCTGCAGCGCCTGATCATGGAAAATCTGGAAACACTGTAACACATATAAAAATATAAATTGCTCCCAATCCTATGACCCAGGAACAACCTGCTCACAACATGTAATAGTTTCCTTATTGTTTTTCATTCATGGTATAGAAATACGTATTTATTCAAAACAAGAACCATACAGTTTACCTGTTTTCAACTCAGAGTACTGTTTTAAACCACTTTAGTGGCTGCACAATCATCATGTTCCCTAAGTACTTAAAATATTTTTTCAAATTACCAAAGCAACATATGTTCATTATAAAAATTTAGAACATATAAGCATAGAGAAAAAATTAAAATCACCTAGATCCTGAGACACTTTCATGAATTCTTTTTCTCTAAATGCACGGATGGACACATTCTTTCCTTGCCACATACACACTGGGACTCGCAACGTGTTTCTTTTCATTTAATGTCATTAAATATTGCTCCATGCCATTTAAATTCCTTCATTTCTTTTTTGTCTGGGGATCAAACCTAGGTGCCTGTGCATGCTAGCAAATACTCTACTACAAAGTTATACCCACAGCCCATCTTTGATTATTCTTTATTTTGTTGTTGTTCTTGTTATTATGGGGATTGAACCCAGTGGTGCTTTTACCGCTGAGCTACACCCCCAGCCTATTTATTTATTTGTTTTTTTATAGACAGGGCTTTACTAAGTTGCCAAGGCTGGCCTCAAACTTGTGATCCTCCTATCTCAGTCTCCCAAGTAGCTGGGATTACAGGTGTATGCCACCATGTCCAGCAATATCATTATTTTTAATGTTAAAAATTTATATAATTCTTCACTCCTTGCTATATACAAAAACACACATTCTTAGCCCCCCCCCAACATCCTTCTTTCAGTGAACCCCTCCATCCTGGCCTCTTCCAGCTTTCATCCTACCAGCCTCCTCTACTATATAACACCATTATCTAGTGCTCCCTCTCCCTGCCCACCTCAAACTGTCCAGCAATTTCCCTGCTTTGGTTTTTAATTCATGGCTCTCTGTCACAGTAGAAAAATCTACCTTGCTTCTGTAATCCAGTGACTCTCAACCTGGGAGAAGTTTTCCCCTTACAAATTTGTGTTCTTTCCCCGACCTCCCTCAGTCAGCCTCCTCCTCCAATCCCCTCTGTCCATCCTCCTCATGGTGCTGGGCATGGGCACACACTTCCCGGCTTTCTGGCCCAGCTTCTCCTGCCTCTCAGCACACACACTTGGTTGCCACACTCCACATCTGGCCTTTCGCAAAGGAACTCATTGCTCTGCAAGGTCCTGAACGCCATCCTGTTCCTAAGATCTCAGTCTCCAGACCCCTGTCATCTGCAGCCTTCTGTATCACTCTAGTGCCTCTCCCCTCACCCTTTCTGTCCAGTCCTAACCTGGCTTTGAGCATGCACCCTGTCCACTTGGCAACTCACCACTGCCCTGGTCGTCTCTCAGTGCAGCTTCAGCCCTTTCCTTCAACAACCCCTCCACTGAGCTCACCCGTCCTCTGCACTCACTGCCTCTGTGCTCTTCTCAAGAGAGTTCTAATCAGACCCAACCCTACCATGCCACGGCACCCATCAACCACTCCTGGGAGAGGGAACTGCACTGCCCACCATGCTTTCTTTCTGGCACCTGGCCTTATATATCTGCCCATCTGTTCCTGTCATCCCTGCATAGGCACCCCTTCTTCTGTGAAGGCTCCCCTTGAGTTCCACCTGGAATTACTGACACCTCCTCATGTGGACTTCTTCACCTACAATCCATGTCTATTACAGTATGTATCCCACACTCTGTGACTGTCAGCATGTCTTGTCTCGATACTAGAGCACAATTATCTTAAGATAAGACGGCCTATTTCTTTATCTTTCCAGCATCTGGCCATGGTGCTGGAATTCTGACGTAAAATTGCAGTCACTGCAACATATCACACACTCTTGCTCATAAGCCATTAATAAGGAACATACAGCTCTATCACCCCAGTTAGACTGCAACAAACTATCATCATGTAATTTGAGGGTCAAAAGGGATCTTGAAACTTTCCATTTAGTGGTCCTAGGAATAGAAAGAGAAAAGGATCAGGATCAGGATCAACAGGGAACAAATGGAGGGCAGAGCAATCAGGACACCAAGAGCAGCAAAAACAGGCACTTTAAGAAAGCCTGCAAAAGGGCTGGAGTTGTGGCTCAGCGGTAGAACGCTCGCCCAGCACATGTGGGGCCCTGGGTTCAATCCTCAGCACCACATAAAAATTAAATGAATAAAATAAAGATATTGTGTCCAACTACAACTAAAAAATAAATATTAAAAAAAAAGAGGGGCTGGGGTTGTGGCTCAATGGGTGAGAGGCACTGGGTTCGATCCTAAGTACACATAAAAATAAATAAATAAATACAATGAAGTTATTGTGTCCAACTAGAACTTAAAAAAAAAAAAGCCTGCAAAAGAGGATCAGCAGCAACTTTTGCACAGTTCTGTTACCTGCAGGGCCAAGTCCACACCTCTTGCCTTATTACCCCAGCTTTTCATGACCCCTACCACTTCCTCTCTTTGACAGTCTTGCTGTAGACATGCAATTCCCTAAACAAAGAATGCTATTTCAGGGCTCTCCAGACCTCTCTTCAAGTTAACACCTTGGCAAAAGAGCATTCGTCCTTACATATTTGAGCACAACTGTAAGCTTGGCTTTGTGGTTTGTGTTGGGGACAGAGTGGTGATCAAAACAGTCTCTCTTATAAGTAATAAGTGCATGGCGATATCAGCAATTGAGAGAGGCATGGATTTTCAAAATGGTATCTCCAACATTTTATTAAACCTGTATTTGGTGCCTCCTGTACAAGACTGTGAACTTCCTGTTGAGGTAGGTAAAGTGTCTTGTACGTTTCTGAACCTACTATTATCAGTAGGATCTCAGTCATCATAGAATGAAATAAGGCAGTTACTTCTTGAATCCTGTTGACGACAGCTCCCTAACATTCATAGGATAAAGCTCAAAACTCCCCAGTTTGGCTCTAACCCAACGTTTAATCAAGTGGTTTTTAACCCAAGCTGTACATTAAAATACCTGGGGAAACTTTAAAACTACTAATGCTCAGGCCCCACCACTAGGGGGTGCTTGGTTAACTAGTTCTGTGAGCAGTGCCTAGGGCATCAGGATTTCTAAAAGTACCCTAAGTGGTTCCCATGTGCAGGCAGGGTCAACTGCTTATCAACTGGCCCTCCCTTAGGCCGGCTAGGAGTATTGATTATCACTGAGTAGACATATTTGCATGGCTACTCACCCAGGAATATAAAACAAAGGAAAGCTAAGTAAGAGGTGAAGTGGGCACTCTCCTTGTCTGAGTCTGCAGGCAGGCTCCCCAGCTGACGGCTGGACAAGCCTCTCCTGACTTCTGAACCTCCCTTCTGACTGCTCCAGAGGACCCATTCACTCAGAAGAAGGTCACCAATTGCTCCAGCACCAGCCACCAGGCACTGTTGTACATGCCTTAAGTTATACACTGGGTAAACAACTTGAACAATGCAGGCAAGAGTCCAAGGGAGGAGAGCTACATGCCCTCAAGGAAAGACAAACAACAAATAAATAAGGTCAGTTAGCTTAGTGAAACCACCAGTAGTGTGCTGCTGGTGAGTATCCAGACATTTGACAAATGCCATGGAGAGCCCTGACTTACAGCCATCACCACTTTAAGCTCAACAGGGGAAAGATGCACAGCAGCACGTGTTTCAGGAGTTCCACCTTCCAGTAAGACACACACATACACAACCTCCAGAACATATTATAAGATTCAG